CGACGACCGGGCCGCGGGGACGCTAAGCCCCGGAAGCGCCTCAAGGTAACCTCATTTGCAGTGATATTCTAATCGCCTTTAATTCTCTCGACATGGTCCGTGGTACCATACACCCCGCGGCCCCTTCTCCCACTCCCCGTATGATCTGAGCTACTCGCTGAACACCTCCGGAGTTGATGATCTATGTGCTCTTCAACCGGCGTCGCGCGGCATTCTATTCCCGTGTTGTGAACGCAGGTCGGCGTTCAATCCCCGATCGTCCACCAAGTGGTTGAGGCACCATTCCTTCCTCCCCGTCCCATCCTAAATCCTTATCCTGATCCCTTCCAAGTACTACAAGAACGAAGCCAGTACATCTGGCACACTAACAACTGAAAAATTTGCATAACTGCAGCGTTTAAGAGAAGCATAACTAGCTGAACTCCATTCGACGTTCAGGAACTTCATAAGCTAACTATCGGGAGCTGTTGTTGCTGTTTTAGATTTAGTTACTCAGAACGAAATGTCCATGTAGCACGGGCTATGGCGAGCCCGTAATATCGGGAGCGTCAAGTCATTACTATATAGCACTTGGAAGCGCCATGAGAACATGACACTAGGTTAGGAGGTAGGGGGGAGAGGAATTGGTGCCCAACCACTTCGACGGTCGGAGGATCGAACGCCGACCTGCAATACGCAAGGCCGTCCCTGTACCGACCCATGCAAGTGGTTAGGTGGAAGCGTCATAAAACACCCCCCAAAATGGTATTTTAAATGGTCACCACTTGGTCCGGGAGACATCTCCCGTCACGCAGGGTGCAGTTGCGCCTCCACAGATCTCCAGTATCATCTTTTGATACTGGTAATGGCTCGAAAGGGCCACCACTTACGGGCTATTCATGCCCGTGCCACCTCTTTGGTAGCTTAATCTTCATCAATCAATCGGTATTTTAATCAACCGGGAATGATTAAACACGCAACCCCATAAAACCTAACACAAATAATACTAATCTACAAGACACTATATCTCCAGCAACCACATTCACCACCACAACCAACACCTACCACGATCATGGACCACAATCATACAACCAACATTTTTACTATCCGAACTGACCGCTGCCAAGGGGGGCAGCGTGGCACTTGTTGAACTCCAGCCCTACTGGCGAATTACTCCAAAAGTCAATTCAACTACCACCAGCCATCTCCACACCACTATCACCCAACCACACCACACTACCACCTCCCAACCACACCACCAAACCACACTACCACCTCCCAACCACACCACCAAACCACACTACCACCTCCCAACCACACCACACTACCACCTCCCAACCACACCACCACACCACACTACCACCTCCCAACCACACCACCACACCACACTACCACCTCCCAACCACACCACCAAACCACACTACCACCTCCCAACCACACCACACTACCACCTCCCAACCACACCACACTACCACCTCCCAACCACACCACACTACCACCTCCCACCACCTCAGAGGCAGACGCAGAAGCAGGCGCCGTCGAGAAAGGCCACCACAAGTGGCCCGCTGTTCCTTGCGCTTCCTATAACTCATGAGTCACAAGGCTGCCCGCCGGTGAATCAGAAGCGGGCCACAACGCCTCCCTCACGCCCCGGGGCCGCGTGAATCACCCGCAACTCACAAGGGCTTCCTCATAACGCCGGCGACGCCACTCAGGTACCGCTCAAAGGGCCGCTCTCTCACACCCCCGCGCGCCCGGCAAGGTGAGTCGACCCGCCTTAAAACAACACCTCCATCCCTAAACTCACACAGGTGTGAACGTCTCATCACCGGCCGTCTGAAGCTGGGGTCAGCCAGCTTACTCAAGCTGCACAACTGGTGTTTACTAAGGTGTGTGAGCCGGCCCAAAGGTGCTGTAAGTTCATCCCCTTCCCCCATGGCTAAAACTAATTCATTGCCACTGCACATTTTTCTGAACCCTCTCTAGACAAACTGATTTGCTATCAACAAACGCTATCGTATGCTTCCTCAATGCTAGTCAGATATCAGTGGCATATGTGACGAGAGAGAGAGATGGTGCCACTAATCTCTGAAGGCTGGTTTGCGTATGATATCGTCAATGGGATATCATGCATCATTTCCATTTGATGATGTTCGCATAACGTGTCAATATTACAGAGACGAAGGTTCATTAGTCAGCGCCCCAAGAGACAATTGTAAACCTGTTGGCCGTTATCAAACGTTTAAGTACGTACATGAGCGTCAATATTGACTTGTACTCGTGTTTGTGAATCAACAACGTGACGAAAGATGAAAACATTAGCTTATCTCCCGCCCCGCAGCATCTCTGGCGCTCAAAACCATCTCAGAAGTAATCAGGCTCTTGACACACGAGCGGCAGCTGCACCTTGTTCTCTACCTGCGAGGGAGGCTGTTCTCTACCTGCGAGGGAGGCTGTTCTCTACCTGCGAGGGAGGCTGTTCTCTACCTGCGAGGGAGGCTGTTCTCTACCTGCGAGGGAGGCTGTTCTCTACCTGCGAGGGAGGCCGTTCTCTACCTGCGAGGGAGGCTGTTCTCTACCTGCGAGGGAGGCTGTTCTCTACCTGCGAGGGAGGCCGTTCTCTACCTGCGAGGGAGGCTGTTCTCTACCTGCGAGGGAGGCTGTTCTCTACCTACAAGGGAGGCCGTTCTCAACCTGCGACGGGGCTGATCTCTATTTAGAACCCAAGATTACCAGTGACAAACCCAATGTCTCAATTTCCGGAGCTTCACGTGGCCGCGAAACGACAGCGGGCCCCGGGGGACACCGAGCAAGGACGACCCGCTTCTCCGGTACTCTCTCTCGTTACCAAGTGAATTATAAGACATTGCCAAAAGTCATTTCAGAGACGACACGCCCCTCCAAGATGAGCTACAAGCGTAGAAGGGGATGGCGATAACGACCTGTTCAGAGTCACACAGGGGTGGGGACGCCCTTTCCAGCCACAGGAAGGGGGGGGGAGGAAGGGAAGAGGGAGGGGAAGGAAGAGGGGGAGGAAGGGAGGGGATGGGGGGGGGGTGCTAGCTAGGCGCCAAGGTCACCCGTTACTTTGGAGTCATCCGTTTAATTGTTGTTCTTTTTCCCCTCAGGCTGCTTGACCTTTGGCTGTGTTAGGGAGCTACTGGAGGCTACCTGACCTTCACCTGCGTGCGTGCGTGCGTGCGTGCGTGCGTGCGTGCGTGCGTGCGTGCGTGCGTGCGTGTGTGTGTATGTGTGTGTGTGTTCGATGCTACTCTCGCACGCACGCACACATCAATGGCTACTTCTAACCCCTCCTGCGTACTTGCCCGAAACGCTGTGCGTATTTAGTGGCTCTAGGAATATAGTATATTCTATCTCTATCGAGAAATGCAAGTTGACCAGACCACACACTAGAAGGTGAAGGGACGACGACGACGTTTCGCTCCGTCCTGGACCATTCTCAAGTCGATTGTGATTTGCAACTTCGAGAAACGCAACATTCTGCTTGTAACGCATTTTATATTAATGTATTTTGATCTGAATAAACATTAGTATTATATCATAACTCTTCAGTGATTGGTCACCAGACGTTCCCAGCAAGCGCCAGGACCCAGATTCACGAAGCAGTTACGCAAGTACTTACGAACACAGGGGCCAGATTCACAAGTACTTACGAACACAGCAGATTCACGAAGCAGTTTCGCAAGTACTTACGAAGACAGGGGCCAGATTCACGAAGCAGTTACGCAAGTACTTACGAACACAGGGGCCAGATTCACGAAGCAGTTTCGCAAGTACTTACGAACACAGGGGCCAGATTCACGAAGCAGTTTCGCAAGTACTTACGAAGACAGGGGCCAGATTCACGAAGCCGTTACCCAAGTACTTACGAACGTGTACATCTCTCCTCAATCTTTGACGACTTTGGTTACATTTATTAAACAGTTTACAATCATAAAAACGTCCCAATCAACTGTTGTTATTGTTATAAACAGCCTCCTGGTGCTTCGGAGCTCATTAACTGTTTAATAATTGTAAACAAAGCCGCCAAAGATTGAGGAAAGATGTACAGGTTCGTAAGTGCTTGCGTAACTGCTTCGTGAATCTGGAGTGGGGGGGGGGGCTACGAGAGAGGACGCGGCTACTTGTAACCTAAGACGAGCAGTAGCCAAACAAGGTAGTTACCGTCTTGTTTCTTAGAAGTCCAGTATAACAAGATGAACACCTTAGTTCGCTATTATTGTGTGAGGTTTAAGAGAGCAGAAATTGGTTCTGAGGATGAGATGATCTGTGTGTGTGTGTGTACTCACCTAGTTGTGCTTGCGGGGGTTGAGCTCTGGTTCTTTGGTCCCGCCTCTCAACCTGTGTGGTGTGTGTGTGTGTGTGTGTGTGTGTGTGGGTTGTGTGTGTGTAAGTACACATCATGTCCATTCCCCTGGGCTGAAGGAGACTCGAACCGTTGACCCCAGGCGCGTGAGAAGCCGAAGCTCTATCCAGCGAGCCATTGAGTGGTCGTAATAAGGAAGAAATTTTTATTTGTTTTTCATTTTATATTGTTTTAAAAACACGTACCTGTGACGTGGGGGATTACCTCGGTTCAGCCCTTTCCACTCACTAGTTACTAGCACCTAGTAACGCGAACCCGTTTTGGCGAATCGTCATTTTCGGGGGAAAAACATGTCACTAAATTGGCAAATATGAATCTAGGTACCTGAATTTAGGTAAGTGAATCTAGGTACCTGATTTAGGTACCTGTATTTAGGTCCCTGAGCCTAGGTACCCGAATCTAGGCCACTAAATTCTAGGTACCTGAATCTACGTAACTGAATTTAGGTACATGAATCTAGGTACCTGAATCTAGGTACCTGTATTTAGGTACCTGAATCTACGTAACTGAATTGAGGTACCTGAATCTAGGTACCTGAATTTAGGTACCTGTATTTAGGTACCTGAGCCTAGATACCTGAATCCAGGTACCCGAATGTAGGCCACTAAATCCTACCCCATGCCCCATAAAATCCTTAGTTTATTAGAGCATAATGAGGAAGAAAAGATGAGGATTGTGAGGTACTCACCCGCTTCTCAGTCAGCTTGTCGCATCGGCGCATCTTGCAGATCTGGTGCGACTTGTCGTTCCTGCAGGGGGCGCAGTCGCCGCAGTTATCCTTGCGCTGACAGCCCACACAGTCGCCGCATCGCTTACGCTTTTTTTTGACCGGTTTTTCGGGCGGGTCATCTTGCGGAGGGGGCGGCTGTTGCGGGGGCGGGGGCCGAAAACCCCCCTCCGAACATGGCCCCGACGCGCCCGCGTTCATGTTCGCGTTCTCGGAGTTATTGACGGCGGTGGAGGACACGGAGGAGACTTGACCGCTGTTCTCCGTGCCGGACACGGAAGCGTCGCTCTCAGAGCTCTCTAGAGAACCCGCTCGACCCGCTCGCTTAACGCCTACCCGCACCGACGCCTCCACCCGCAGCTGCGAACTGCTGTCAAACTGCTGCTGCTGCTGCTGCTGCTGCTGCTGGTGACCATTGTTGTTGTTGTTGCTGTTGTTGCTACTGGTGCTGCCGCTGCTGCAGCTGCTGCCGCTGGAGCCGGCGGGAGGCTGCGTGTTCGGAGAGACCTGCGCAGGCGTGGTGGAGGACGGCGCCGGGTCGCTACCTTGCGGAGACTCGAACATGCGGATGTGTCGTTCGTCCATCATCTGCTGCTGTATGGTTGGGATCTCCCGCGCCTGCACGGGCGCCGGCACCAGGGGGTAGCGGGCGTGTGGCGACGGCAGCGTGTTGAAGGATGGCAGCGGCGAGGGCGTGGTGCTGCCCACACTCCGCTCGGGGCTGAAGGCAGCGAAGGGCGGCAGTTTGTGCGATAGCGGGTGCTGGGGGCCCACGTGGTGCGGCGGAGGGCCCCCAGGGTACGTGTCGCTGTAGGTGGGGATAGTGTGCGCATAGTGTGCCATCTGCGCCCCTGAGGCCACGGCCACTGACGGCGTGTGCGTCAGCACTTGGATAGGCGCGGAGGAGGCCGCCAGCGGGTGCAGTCGGTGGTCGGGTTGTCGGTGGTCGGCCGGATGGTCGGCCTCCCACGGGCGGTAGGCGCTGTTACCGTCAACGCCGACGACGCGCGACGACAAACTGTCGGAGAACCCGTCTCCGAAGAGCAGGTTGTGGGTGTCGAGGAGCCGGCCCGTCAGACCCTCCCCCAGCTCCATCTCCACCAGGCAGTTGTAGGGCGGGAAGTGGCGGGCGTGGGCGGGGGCGTGAGCGTGGGCGGCCTCGGTGTGGGCGTGGCTCACCCCGGGCACCGAACTCATTCCAACGCGCACACTACATCTGCAAAGGAAGAAAGGGACGCATTAGTGTGGTTAATGGGTTACGGTGTGACGCATGGTGCAGTACCTTAGGAGGGGCGCATGCCCCAGCACCCCGGGGGGGGGGCGCATGCCCCAGCACCCCGGGGGGGGAGGGGACGCATGCCCCAGTACCCCGGGGGCGACGCATGCCCCAGTATGCGTCCCTATGAAAGTAACTGAGACACTACTTCACTTCCACTTTGATATATTCACTTTGATATATTCACTTTGTCATTTGTGAAAGTCACTTTGATATATTCAAACGTGCAAACCTTATCCACGCGTATCATTTCGAACATTGAACCCCCCCCTATCTACCCCCTAACCCTATTTCGAACATGGAACCCCCCTCCCATCCCCCCCATCCACACGAACCCCCCTTCCAAACATGGAACCCCCATCCAGGGGAACCACTTCAAACATGATCCAAACACCAGACTGGCCACACAACTGGCAATTTCCGGACCGATAAGGGAAGTGATGCCGGCACTCTGGCGCGGGAGTGCCACCCATCTACCACACACAACCATGGCACTATCTACCACACAGCCCTGGCACTATCTACCACACAGCCCTGGCACCATCTACCACACAACCCTGGCCACCATCTACCACACAC